TATTCCTTCCTTTTTCCTTTCCCCTCCTCCACAACCACATTTAAATTCTCATTGTGTGTGTCTACATGCGTGTGCACACGTATGCTTGTGTGTATGCGTGTGTGGTGTGTAATCAACACTTAAATGTTTACTATGGGCTAGACACTCTTTTAAGAACTTTGTATGTATTATCTTATTTAATTATCACAAAACCGTAATAAAGTAGATACTATTTTATCGCCATTTTTGCGGATGAGGAAACTAAGAGAACCTAGAAACCTTCAGAAAAGTCACAAAGCTTTGTGTCTGGAATTGAGACTGAATCCAGGCAGGCTGACTTTGTGTCCTTACTCTTAACCACTACTTGCTGCTCTCAGTCAAGTTTTATGAGGAATTCTGTTTGATTTAGAGTGAATTCTAAAAATCTGAAGTAAAGGTTAACCAAAAGCCTTACCACTCGCAGATGGTATTTGTATTTTAAAAGAACAGCCTTCTTAATCCAGTGGAGAAACTGTTGAGCAGTGAGGACCTAAGGTGAGCACTACAAGAAAGAAGCACGAGCAGTTTGGCCTCTTCCTGGGAGCACCCACCTACAGTGCAGAACTTTTTAAACTACTTAGCTTTAATTTGGGGGTTAATGTATATTTTATTTCTTGGATCATACATCAGACCACCTTTTTCGTACTCAGTTTTTACTTACCATCCAGTCCCCAAATCTCCGCTTTCAGCCAGTCTGAACTTCTTGTCATTTTATAAATATCTCACCTTCTTTATAACATTGCTGTGCTTTTCCACATGCTGGTTTCTTCTGCCTGGAATGCCGATAATAATGGTGATTACAATAATTTTAATTTTCGTACAGAGCATTGACTCAAGTCTCGGGTGTTTTGGTTCTAGATTCTGTGATCTTGCCCCTTCCTCTTTACATTGGCCTGGGTTGTGGGATCTTACTTCTTTGGCCTCCTCCCTTCTCTTGTCATTCAATCTCTTGCCTTCCCCTTTAAGAAACAATCTGAATATCATCTTTGTAAAAGATACCCCCATAACAGTCACCCTTCTTTCATTGCTCTTCTTTTAGAAGAACACTTGCAAACTTTACCAATTGCAAAACCAAGTTTTTCAGTTGGTTAACTGACTTATTTACCCTATTAAACATTTGACTTCTTCAAGAAGAGAAACCTAGATTTACAGTTTTCATTTTCCCCTTCCTTCCTCGTCATTCACGAGTACTCAGTAAATATTGAAGGACTATGAGTCGTCTTAAAACTTTATCCCAGTTCCAAAGGCTAAGGAAAATGGCTTTCCTACCAGCAGCTAACCATATGTGGGGTGAGGAACAGATGCCAAGTTTGAAAGAGAGCTTGGAGCTTGGGGAAAAGGTAGCAGGAGATGGGAAATGCCTCTGTCTCACTGAGTACCTCAGAAGTCACACACTGCCCTGTCTAGGATGGTAGCCCCTAACCACATGTGGCTTTTTAAATTCAAAGTAATTAAAATCAAATCAAATTAAAAATTCACTTCTTCAATTGTAGTAGCCACATTCGAAGCACTCAGTAGGGTCTTGTGGCTGGCGGTTCATGGGCAGTTCTGATAATAGAACATTTCCATGAATGTAGAAAGTTCTATTGTAACCTTTAGTTATTACTTCAAATATGCGTTCTTTATAGCCCTTCCTTAATTTCCAGATTTTTAAAATAGAATGCAAAATTAGAGTTAATGTTTAAGATAACACACAGGACTTGAGAGGAGTTTTTCAACTTGTCTAGTGCCCTTAGACCCCTGATGTATCCATTTAGCTTCTGCTGTTAAAGATCAGTTAGTGGAATGTTCGAAAAAATCTCATCTTCATAGGATACAGTAAATTTTTAAGAACCAGTTCTACTTTCTGATTTGCATAGTGATTATCTTTGGCATCCTAGAAGTAAATCCTGTTTTTCAGTATGCTGGCAGACCTCATCACATTGGCATTTTTAATTTATTTATATAAAACATCATCATTTCCATTGACAGTGAATGCCTGACTAAAAACTTCAACGCTAGGATTTATTGTGTGTCCATAATATGTGTGTTGTGGTAGTCCAGCTGGGTAAGAACACACCGAAGAAAAATAGCCAAGCATTAGATGTGGAGAATTGGAGTAGCTTATACAGTCGTAAAGCCTTTTGGCTCCTTTACAGTGGAGCTGAAAAATGTGAAATTTGCTGCAATTGGTGTATAAATTCATCCGGACAAACCCTAGATGTCAGTGTTGTAGTTTTGACGTTTAACTGGGAGCTGGTAAAGACTTCTGCTTTTAATCACCTGGATATTCTTCACTGACAAAACTTTTAAGCCATTGTGCCTCTTTGCATTTAGGTAAATGCTTACTAGAAGAGGCACTTTTCAAAGAATTATTTTGTTGATTAGTACCTGTGCAGTGCTACTGACTCTGAGTAATAAAACACAGGTAATATTAATATATTTATTTTTCAGCTAACTACATTCTCCAAACTGTTTCTCAACATACTTTTCAGGGAACACTTGTCTTAGAAGATGCTTCTGGGGGAAAAATTGTGTGACTCTGGAATCTGGTACATGGTAGACGCACAAATTCACTGAACTGAATTATAGTGCTATCAGCTTTTGTTTGGTAAAATTTAGATACATTTTTTTATATTGTGGACAATAATATAGTTCTTATATCACATATATTTGCACATTGAAGCCTAGAGTCATATGTCCTCAGATTTCTTAAATTTACTTAGCATATGTGATACAGAGAAGGCTTCAAATTAAATATGTGGCAAATGAATTTCTATTTTAAAAAATTCTTGCTCTTTATTAAGAAATATGCAGCACATTAGGGCAATACAATAATTAGTGATTTCTTGCTTTTATCATTTCCTTTGATATTATTTGATACCATTGACATACTTTATATTTTAAGATTGTGCTGTTTAAAAATGTAAAGTATTATTTTGTTTTCTCTCTTTAACTCTGACTTTATGTAATGTTCTGTTAATTTTTTGAGGATACTTCATTTTTACTCATGTGCTTGAGGTTCATTTTTGTATATGTATAAAATGTTTTATATGTTTTTATTTGCTGTTTTCTAATGTGTTATAAATTTTTGTTTGAAATATATTAAATATTTAGTTTTACAGCCTTTTTATTTCATAAATTCTCACCACTTAAAAAATAAAGGTAGTATGCAAAAGTAATACCAAAATTGGCAGGTATTATAATGACCAGCTAAAGGTCACGTCTTTCCAGCAGTTCTCTCATAATTCATGGCTTAAAGTCAGGAGATTAGAGAGGATCACTCAGAAGTTAACAGCTGACTATACATTCATTTCCTTTCACTTTAGTTGTGGCAATAAGCTGAGATTTAAAAAAAGGCTGAAAGGATATTTAAAAGCAAAATATACACGTTCTGTTGAAATAATTTAAAGAAGAAACGGCGGCTCGGAGTTGAAGTAACAAGAAACAGTCAGTAGACTTCTCGAAGGTGGAAGCGGAGGTTCTGGTGGTGGTGCATCCGTAGCCTGGGTGAGAGTAAGGGGACCCGGAGCAGATGCCCTGAAGTGCAGCGCTGTGGGGCTGTGGGTGCTTTTCAGACCTTCAGTTTTAAGTGAAGTTTCTGATCTGGATGGGAGGACATCAGAATTGAATTAAGTAGGAAGCAGCAGGAAACGTGTTTATGCCTAAGCCTTTTTTATTCTTCGTCAAGAAAGTCAGTATTTAAAATTTTATTTTAATTACTAGTATTGTTATTTAGTAGAGATATTTTGAGAGAAAAAGTTGGAAGTAATGGCATTTTCTGGATTAATCTTTGAGACTCAGCTAGTTCTGGAGTTGACCAAAGAAAGTACATTTGTTATCTGAAGACGTGACTACTAAGTGGCAGTTGTTGGTATATCACTGAGTTTTCCTCTTATATGGTAGCTTTTTCTCAGCCTTCTTTGTTAGCTCTTCTTCTCCTTATTAAGAAATATTCCAAGTTACTAAGCCGTTGAATGATTTTCTCCTTTGAAGTATTTCCTAAGTTCCATAGGTTTCTGAAGAGCAAAACAGAAGCTCTCCAGAAGGCTCTAGATCGTATAGATGCACACACTATGCTGGCTGCCTGTGCTCTTGTTGTTAAAGTACACTTAACTTCAGAAGTTGAAAAAGGCTGCAAAACTTAATGTACCCAGAACTTCTCAACAAGCTGATTTTCAAGCAAGGCCATTGACTCGACTCCTGTTTCTGCCAATCTTCTGACCCCAGCTATTTGAATGTTATATAATGAACTAGCTGGCTGGTAGCCTGTGTATGCTTGTTTTGGTGGTTTTGAATGATAAAATTTAACAGATACTTTTGTATCTTCAACTCAGAACTTAGTATTTTTATTCAGTCACTCAGGAGTGCAATTAAATCTTCAGTGTCTTGGGCACAATAATACTTCATTAGATTATTTTGCAAAAATGTTAGAACACCCAATTTTATAATGTTATATGCAAATTCTATAAAAGGAAGCTGGTTTTTAGATTTTTCTGCACACAAATTCAGAATTTTAAATATCTGGGCCATATCCCTCAGAGAAATTATTCTGATTTCTCTGTACCATGGAAACACTGTACCATTTTCTTCACAGATTAAAGCTTTTTATTTGTTTAAAATAATCTTCATTAGTCTCTTCAAGTAGTTTAATGACACAATTCAGGCCCATGGACTTGAACACACCCTGCACTGGCCCAATGTCAGCGCCTTGAAATGGGTGGTATGTGGGAGGGGCTGTTAGATTTGTTTCTGCTGCCTGGGTCCTGGGTGCTGAAGCCCCTGTGGTCTCCTCTGTCAACATGACTACTGGTGGCAGTAGGAGAGAGGTCCTCCTGCTCTCCTCCGCTATTACTTTAGCTCTGGGACTTGGTAAAGTTCCATCTTTGAAGAATCAAGACAAATGGAGAACTGTTAGCTTTATGAAGGATGCTGGGGGTCTGGCCATGGCCTTAGCAACCTCTACCTCTGGTATTAAAGTTTAATTTGTTTTCTACTCTTAGGTTCTGTAGGAAGCTGTAGATTGGAAAAGGATCGCTTTTCTTCTGACGATGAAGCAATAGAAGCTGACAATGAAGATGAAACTGAACCCTGTGGCAGTGAAAATGAAAATGCTGCAGAAGCTAGTGCTGGAACTAATATGGGCTGGGCAGATGCCATGGCTAAAATCCTTAACAAAAAAACTCCTAAAACTAAACCCACCATTCTGGTCAAAAACAAAGAGCTGGAAAAGGAAAAAGAGAAGTTAAAGCAAGAGAGACTAGAGAGAAGAAAGCAGGTGTGTCCTACCAGTTGTTTTGTAGAGTAGATTGTTTGTCTGGTCTAGTTCTTATCTGTACCTCATTGTTCCTTGCAGTATTTGTCCGATTAACATTCCAGTTTTTACCTTGCTTTTTATGTGGGGGTGGATAACCAAGGTTATATTGAGAAACTTAGTCTCAGTTACTCCATTGAGCATGCTCACTTCTTAATCATCCAAGCAAAGCAATAGAAATGTGAACTCCAAGGAAATTTATCCTCTTTAAAATCCAGTCATTATACATGTGGCAGTGACTCCTGGATCTGAATTTTTAATTCAATTTAGCTGTCCCTATGCTAACTTTATTAGGTTCTGAACTAATAGAATCATGTTAGTTACTTTTTCTAAAAACCTATTTTATTATATAAATCTGTGAAGATGTCATTGTCAGGGGTTAGTTGTAGTTCTGAGAACAGGCTATTTCACTGCTAGATTAACTTGAATTCATTATACCTTTTGTTAAACCACTGATGATAGAAGTTAGACTAGTACAGTCTGATAATTAAAGGCCAAAAGTTGGGCTTAAATTTGCTGCTGAGTATTATAAAGATAAAGAAATAGTAATAAGGTTTTTATATCCCTTGTGCTGGATGAAGTATTTCTGTTTCTAAAATATTTGGTTACTGAAGTAAGCGTTGTTTTTCAATGAAAGAAAAATAACTTTCTACAGTCATACTGACAATATACAAATACTGATTTCCAAGAGGTACTTTATGGGTAAAAATGAAAAAAATAGTTTTGAATTGGCATATATTTCCTTTTACGTTTGTCATTCCCTTATCTTGTTTCAAGATGAATGTTTTCTTTGTTCTAATGCTGGTTGCTCTGTGTGAAAGGCTATATAGAGATGGAACTTTTCAAGTGTTGCTCTTAGAAACAGAACATGCTCTATTATTAATTCAGTATTCTCATTGCACTTTATTTAAGATAAATGTCTCTAAATCTTACTGATAGCTTTGCAATTGACAATTTGAATCTTTATTATCTGGCAAAAGCTAGAAGAGTCTTTAAAAATATCAGAATCCTTAATTACCTCTAGTCCCAATGTTCCAGTGAGAGTAAGAAGAACATTTTGAAGCCAAGAGAAATGAGTATCTAACTCTTCTCTAGGCCAAGGCTTTGAGTGCCAGAGGTGGTACTGTCCACATAATGCATGAAAGGACACGTGTCAATACCAGATACTTGACACAGTAGCTCCAAGTGCTCTTAGTATATATTTCTGAGTAAAGTCTGTGTAAATTATCATTGTTTCTTAATGTCAAATATTATCAATTTCCAGAATACTGAGTACTTATTTCTAATCAAAGGTATAAAAATACATTACAGAGTTAAAAAATATTTTGGGATTATGCATGGCTATTATCCTTTGAGTACTATAGATAATTAAGAATCAACTGTTTTAAACCTAAAAGTAAGATTTTTTATTTCTGGCATAATCTAGTAGTGAATTTCATGACAGTTAAAATACTTTATCTGGGGGCCGGCCCCGTGGCGTAGTGGTTAAGTGTGCGCGCTCCGCTGCTGGTGGCCCGGGATCGGATCTCAGGCGCGCACCGACGCACTGTTTGTCAGGCCATGCTGTGGCGGCATCCCACATAAAGTGGAGGAAGATCGGCACGGATGTTAGCTCAGGGCCAATCTTCCTCAGCAAAAAGAGGAGGATTGGCATGGGTGTTAGCTCAGGGCTGATTTTCCTCACACACACACAAAAAATACGTTACCTGATTTGGGAAGAATCTATTCCTTTCGAAAGGAATCAGGCTAATCTTTATAGCGAGAGCAGGAATTTGGTTTTACTGTGATTAGACATTCTCATTAATACAAAATGAGAGATTAGATGAGTGGAGAAAAGGAAGAGATGAAAGGAGACTTTTTTCCACTGGTTCTTATTACTGATTTTGATGCTCTCCAGCTTCGTGGTGATTAGTTCATCATATTCAGTATATTTGATATTTGGTGATAGGTGGGCCTGAGACGGGGACGTGGAGAAGCAATATATCAAATCAGGCGCCTAGAACCAGGATAGTAAGCGAAGACAATTTTGAATTAGATTATGTTGTCTATGGGATTTTCTTATTTCCTGGCTCCCCTTCTACTTTGCATTATAGGAAAGAATCAGTTTGCTTTAGTTTGTGACTGAAACGCTGTGTATGGCAAGGATATTGGTCAGATGTGCCGTAAGAGGAGAAGTGGATTTAAATGATTTTCTGTAAAGAAAAATAGTCACTATATAAATAGGATATATCTGGATATGATGCTATTCTTTTAAAAGCTGATACAACTTCTTAATAATTCTGACTGCGGAGGAAGTCAGTTTCTGAAAATAAAGAGAATCAGTGTTTAAACTTGTGGTTAGCAAAGAGGGTAATTTGGAGTCTTACTCGTGCTTGCCTCTGATGATCTGGTGATGGCAGATCAGGGATCTCACACCCTACCTTGTCCTGCCCGGCTCAGTATGCTGGCAGCTCTCCAGGCCCCTGCTGTCGGAGAGCCTGATGGAAACCCACTTTGTGCCTCTCACATGACACGCTGAGTGCTAACCACAGGCTCCCTGAGCTGAACCCCTAAAAGTGTGGGTGTTTTTTAAAATCTCCATGACAAACTAAGCCAGAATGATTTATTACCTTTGTCCTTTCACAGAATGTCATGTCAAAGTATGCTGCAATTTCAAAAATGCCTAATATTCTTTCACATAACAATATTTATAACACAGCTTGATAAGAAGCGGGAATGGGAAATGATGTGCAGAGTAAAGCCAGATGTTGTCAAAGACAAAGAAACAGAGAGAAATCTTCAGAGAATTGCAACGAGGTAAGACAGTGTTTTTGCCCTTTAAAAAATAAGTATACTAAACCTTTGATAGTGATCCATTTCTGACTAGGTTTGATTCTTAAGCTCTGCCTCTTCGGAGCCAAGTGATTTATATCTAAGCCTGCTTGGTTAATACTAAATTCAACCAAAGATTTTGCAGGTCTCATGAGGCAAGAATATAAGGTGCTAAGTATATATTTGGTATGAACCTCTTTCAGATCATCTTGTCATTATAGTGACAAGATCAGTGGAATCAGACCTCTTAACTGCATTTCCCTTATAGTGGTTGTCTAAATTTATAGCACTAGATGATTATTTTTGTTATCTTGCATTTTATTTATGGCATAACAAATTACACATTATTGGAGCTTCATGCTGTCCTTTCACTCTGCATTTTTTATCATTGGCACCAAACAAGTATTTGATGTCCTCTGTGTCCAAAGATAAATAGAATCTGGTGGCTGCTGGGTAGTCCTTGCCCACTCATCTGTGGGAATTATAGTCTCTTTGAGAATAGGGGTATATCCTGTGTGTTGGGAACATACAGCAGGAGATTGTCTAGGGGAGTTGGGGAAGGCTTCACAGAGGAGATAACATTTGGGTTGCTGCTTAAAGAATATAGCAATTATCTAGTGGAATTACTTTTAATTTTCCAGTTACCTGCATTATTTTGGTCATTTTCTAGTCCATCTGGGTGTTGTCCTGAGATGATAGTGAAGTATGATGATTAAGAGAGTGAGTAGTAGAGCCAGACTGCTAGGTTTCAATCCCAGCACATAACTTCTCTCTGTCTCAATTTATTTATCTGTAGAAACAGGAGAATATTACACCCACCCTATAGGGTTTCTCCAAGAATTAAATGAATTAATGTGTAAAAAGAACTCAGAATAAGTGCACAGTTGGCACGTGAGAGTAAGTGCCTCCTTAAATTTCATACCCTAGGCACTTCACTCACCTCACCTTCGTCCCCACCCTGTTGTGAAGGGTATGGAATTTTACCCTCCTTAAAAGCTAATAAGCTAGCCTATTAAAGTTTCTTGGATGCTGGCAGAAGACAAGAGACTTCTGGGTCAGAGACAAGGGACATTATTACTCATGGCAAAAGAGTAGCCAGAGCTTCACGTTCCCACTGATTCCCTTTGTCCCTCGGGGCATCACAGGTGCCCTAGATGGATGCCTATGTGTGCACTGGGTTGTGTTACAGGAGGGGACGCTGTATTTGGGAATCTGTTGCTTTTATGGTGAATGGTAACAAGCCTGCTCTTTGTCTGGGGGGAGACGTTACCTCATCCCTCAGGGTTGCGTGCTGCAGACACAACCCTGAGAAATGGCCTGGGTAAAGAGCAGTCAGTGCTTTGCATTCTTGAAAAACCCAGCAAGAACGTGCAGGTATGCTCAGGGCCCATGGCAGATTGCCTTTCCCAATGATTATTATAACAGGAAAATTAATAGATTATAGAATTTTAGAGCTGGAAGGGATGTTAATTGTCTGAATCAGTGTCGTCCAGTAGAAATATAATGTGAGCTACATATATAATTTAAAATTTTCTTGTAACCACGTTGAAAAAACTAAAAAGAAAAGTGGTGAAATTAATTTTGATAATATATTTTATTTAAGCCAGTGTATTCACATTACTTCAACATGTAATCATTATAAAACAATTATTAATGAGATTTTAAAATTCTCTTTTTCATACTAAGTCTTCAAAATTGAGTGAGTTATTTTAACTTGGAGCACATTGTAGTTTGGACTAGCCATATTTCATGTGTTCAGTAGCTACATGTGGCTCGTGGCTACTGTAATGGACACTGCAGGTCTTAATCTTCAGAATTCATCTTTGAATGAACTTAACTACAGAACAAAGTATTTTGAATTTTTTTAAGATAGGATTTTAAAATTAGTTTTATATCATAAGAGTTGCAGATAATATAGCTGAATACTTTTTAAGCTATTTGAGTATTATTTTTCCCATTTACAGACGAAATTGACATCCAGAACATCTTTCCTAGAGTCGTATGGTTAGCTAACTGTAAAGGCTGTGCTCTTTCCATTACAGTGTAATACTTTCAACCATTATATAGTTATATTTTGAGAAATAGATGTTTGTGTTAAAAGTAATTCTTAGTTCTAATTGCACAGAGGTTGATTTGGAAAGTCCAAGGCAGAAAAAAAATCACTTATCATTTCACACGTATTTATTCTCTATTCAGAAATTTATATTTATTCATTGAAATGTATGTTCGTTTTTCAGATGTATCTGTTCATTCAGCTCGTTTCATTTGAGTGCCTATTAAATGCTTGCCTCTTTCCTAAGCAGTGAAAATACATTGTTCCTATCCTGTGAGTTTGTATTCTAGTGTAATTGTTATTTAACTACATTGTTCCGGTCATTTTACATTCTATAGGGGTGTGGTGCAATTATTTAATGCTGTTCAGAAGCATCAAAAGAACGTTGACGAAAAGGTTAAAGAAGCTGGAGGCTCTATTAGAAAGCGTGCTAAGTTGATATCAACTGTTTCCAAGAAGGATTTCATCAGCGTTCTGAGAGGGATGGATGGAAGTACAAATGAGAAAAGTTTGACTGGAAAGAACTCAAAAGCCAAACAGGTAAGACTCTTATATAGGATTCAGTGCATCAGACTTTTAGTTCTTTAGCTAAAGTTTTGGGGTGAAAAAGCACACTATAAAATTATAGTTTTTTCAGATTTTTAAAAAATTTCTACATGCCCACAGCCTAATTGGAAAGTTTGGATTCTTAAGTTTCATGATGATTTATTCAGTATGGAAGTTGCCAGTTATGGATGTCATCCCCCTGCTGTTAGAACTCAGGAACTGATAGATTCAGGTAAATTCTTTAGAGAGAGAGCCATGTCTCTTCTATCTGAAATTCTGCCATTTCTGCATTTTGGAGAATAGAAGTTTGTGTGAGGGATACAGCTTTAATTTGAGACTTTTACCCACAGAGGTAATTGTGATGGTGTGTAACTTCTAAAATATGAAGAACTGGAGTTTTTGGGAAATATGGTGGAAAGTCATCCTTGCACTGAGGCAGCTTGGTGACGTTTCGCTGGTTGGGAGGTGATGAACTTAAATGCTTTCCATGATCTTTGGCATGATAACTTTGCTTCCCCAGCCCTTTTGACCTGTGAACGCCAATAGTTTCCTTTTTAATGTACCAGGTGAAAGATTCTGAAATGTGCTCTAATCTCCAGTTTGTTTCTTTAAAAAAAAATTAAAGCTAAGTGCATAGTTTTTTATGATGGCTTGATTTCTTTTGCCAACAAAAAGTCCTTTAATCAGGAAACTAGAGTTTCTGTCATAAGTTTTTTGTTTGTGTTTTGGGAAAACAGTTGAAACCCTGGCAAAAAGAGCATTTAGGCAATTTCATGCCAGCCTAGGGTTGAAGTATTTTTCAAGTTCCTTGATTAAGTTGCCATTTTCCCTAATTTTGACAGAAGTTTTCTAAGCTTTTTAACTTTGTCATGTCTTCAATATGAAAGGACCCAAATTGTATGTTTATATAATAATGGTGCTCACTGGTGCTGCTATCTGACAGGCTGTGTTCTCACTAGTGACACTTGACTGTAAGAATTGGAGAAAGATCCAGCAGCGTTGGATGAGAAAGAGCTAGAGGGAAGATGGAAAAGGAAAGACTTTTTTTTTTTTCTTTTTCCTGTTGGTTTAAAAATAACTTTTAGGGGCTGGCCCCGTGGCTTAGTGGTTAAGTGTGTGTGCTCCGCTTCTGGCGGCCCAGGTTCGGATCCCGGGCGCGCACCGACGCACTGCTTCTCCGGCCATGCTGAGGCTGCGTCCCACATACAGCAACTAGAAGGATGTGCAACTGTGACATACAACTATCTACTGGGGCTTTGGGGGAAAAAAAGGGAGGAGGATTGGCAATAGATGTTAGCTCAAAAGCCGGTCTTCCTCAGCAAAAAGAGGAGGATTAGCACGGATGTTAGCTCAGGGCTGATCTTCCTCACACACACAAAAAAATAAAAATAAAAATAAATAAAAAAAAAAAAGTAACTTTTAGTAGAAGCATTTGTTTTTACTTTAGGATTATTGTCTTCATGAGTTATGAAAGCACGTACAGGGTTCTTCCATGGCACCAATGCATTTTCTTTCTTACCATTTGCACTTTGCCCTTGTCTTTCTTTTTTTCTACTTCAGTGATCACAGGCATAGTATTAATCTGGGACAAGGTCAAAAATTGCTTGAGATTCAAAACAAAGTGGCTTTGCTCTAAACATAATTTGTTTCTAGAACCACCTACCCCACACCAACACCATCCTGGCACATTTCTTTCTTTTAAAAACATTTGTTTTTCATAGTTACAGAAAAACAGCCAGACTCATTTCTTTTTATTATACTTGATTTTGCATCTGAATAATTTTAAAAGTTCTATGATATTTGTGATTGGATCAGTTATTAATACCAAAAATATTTATTAAGTACCTATTTGTGCCCGGTGCTCTCCTTGTATCTTTTAAAGTCTTACAATTCAGATAGACAAATGACTTCAAATAAGTAAACAAGATTAACATGACAACATACAAATTCTAAATTAGTGTGTGTAGACCACATGTTCTCATCAGTTACACTAGGTACAGTAAAATGTTAATTAAGTGGCTATCCCTGTTTGTGGGGGGACTTTCGAAGTAACTGATAATATTCATTTACGACATAGATCAGTAAATCTCTGTAGGTTACTTGAAATAGGTGGACTACGGCAGTTGAAGAAGAGGAGGGAAGGCAAAGGTAGGAATAGATTTGGTGTGCCAAAACGCTCTTCAGAAATGAGTCATAGATTGAACTGGGTAAAGGAGGATATTGATTAAGTAGAGAATAAGATTTTCCTGTTTCTCATGTTTTACCTTGTCCTAGCACCACTGCTGTTGCACCTTTTTGTAATAGATGGTCCTTTCCTCCTCACACAGTCTGTCAGAAGAGCTTTTATGAAAGTTGCTCATTGTCCTTTCTCTGAGTGTAATGGTATTCAGAACACAGGCTAATTAGAGTCCACCCACATCTATACTGGATTCCCTGGCAGCTGTCTATCAGGATACCAATCTGGAAATACCTTTAACTCCTTTACCCAGTTATACTTCTTATTCATAGTGGTGACATTAAAGTCTTAGCTTCCAAAAAAAAGAGCCAGTAGGTTTATATTAAGCAAAAAGCTGGATAGAATTAGGTTAGATCCATTATAGCCAACATACATTAGGAGTGCTTTTGGTGGTGAGTGTGTTTTGTTTTTGTTGTTTGTTTTTTTGACTCCCTGGGGACACTTATGACTTGGAAATTTATTTTTAAGAACTCTTTTTCAAGAATTTCCATACTCCTGCAAGATATAAGAAGCTTTGAGACACTGTGACAAATGTTTCTTAACTGTATTATGGCCCTAAACCAGTCACTTTTCTCAGAACCTTTTCTTTTTTTCTACATTAAAATTTTTAAATTTTATTTTCAAAACAATAGGAGGACACTTTCAAAAGTGAACTTATGACTAAATAAAATAATCAGTGTCCTTTGTCATCCCTCTCTACTACTCCTTTTGTCCTCTCACCCCTAAGGTAACCATTTTCAATTCTCAGATCCTTCTTCTAGTATTTACTTCTATGTCTCAAATAATATTTACACTATTTCTTTATCAATATTAGGTATTATCTTTTATGAAATATAAAGAATTAGTAACTTCCGTTCACTCTCATACGTCCCACACTCTGACTTGCCAATATAGTATATTGTTTTTGACTAAATCAGTATTCATTGTAAACATTGTGTGCTGCTGAGCAAAGTAATGTACAGTAATATTTTCTTTCTTACAGTTTTTCTTTTTCTGGAGTTAACAGTTGCCTCTTTTTTTAATTTGCTTAGTTTTCTATGCACCAAAGCCTTCCTACATTCTTTACAACAACTGTTAAACACTTCTCAATACTATTTTCTTCATAGTCATCCTATTACAACCTAGTCTGGTTGTTCTTTACTTTGTATGCACTTTTTGCAACTTTGCTTTATCACCATCCTGGGAATTCCCTTTGCGTCTTTCTTTTGCAGTAGCCTCTGTTTCTTGGACTGAATGTCTTATTTTCTCGTGGCTTTCCCTCATTTTGACGAGGTCACATTTACCAGTAGCTTTCTGGGAAAGAGTGTAGGTATCCTCATCTTTTATTGATGTGTTAGCTGGATAGATGTAGTAGGTTGAATGGTGGCTCCCAAAATGCTAAGTTCATGTCCTAATTCCCAGAACCTGTGAATGTACCTTATTTGGAAAAAGGGTCTTTGCAGATGTAACTAAGTTAAGGATCTTGAGATGAGAAGATCATCCCGAATTATCTGGGTGGCCCCTAAATCCAATGACAAGTATCCTTGTAAGAGACGCACAGGGGAGATTTGACAGACAGAAGTGGAGGAGGCAGTGACCACAGAGGCAGAGCTTGGAGTGATGCGGCCACAAGTCAGAGAATGATGACAGCTGCTAGAAGCTGAAGGAGAAAACGGATTCCCCCTAGAGCCCCAGAGGAAGCGAGGCTTTGCCAGATTATAAACTGTGAGAGAATAAATTGCTGCTGTTTTAAGCCCTCCAGTTTGTAGTAATTCGTTACGGCAGCCGCAGGAAAGTAATACAGTATAGATGTCTGTGTTAGAAATTATTTTCCCTCAGAAATTTGAAGTTATTGCTCCATTTTCTTATAACTTCCCTTTTTTTGGCCAGTAAGAGATCCAGTGCTATTTTGATTTCAGATTCTTTAGTCTTTGGAAGCTTTTAGGATCTTCTTTATCCCTGCTGTTCTAAAATTGTTCAGTGGAATCCCCTGGATGGCTTTTTCTCCTTCCTTTTGCTGGACACTTGGAAGGCTCTGTCAGTCCAGTAAGAAATCCATGTTCCTCATCTCTAGACAGGTTGTTTTGTGGTTGGATTTAATATCTTTGGTTACTTTTGTCTCTTTTTTTGTTTTGTTTGTTTTCTCTTTCAGGAATTTCTGTTAATTGGTTGTTGGGTCTTCTGGATTGATCCTCTGATTTTCATAACTTTTTTCCTCTAGATTTTTGTCTCTGATGGCTTTCTGGGAAGGTCCTTTAATTTCTAACTGTTATGTTTAATTGAAAAAAATATGGTTTCATAGTTTTAAATTTTGAAAAACTTTTTTTTTGTTCTTTTGTTCCTTTGTGATCCTATTTTACTTCATGAATACAGTATCTGTTATTTTTTGAGGAATTAATTATAGGCGTTCTACATTTTCTTTTGCTCTGCAATTGTCTTAGTCTCTTCTGAGCTCATTTTTGCTGTTTTTTTGGCCTCAGTCTTTCCACTTGGAGGCTTTCCTCATGTGCGTGGTGATCCTCACTGCCCATCCATAATTAAAAGTACTGGAGAGTTGATTGAACGTTTCAGTGTGACCCCAGAGTTTTCTAGTTGGTGAGTTCAGCTATAGAATAATTGAGTAGAGTTGCTTCTTTCACTGGGGAATACCCAAATGTCAGTTTTTATAGATCTTTCTTCTGGAACCCTCTATCTTTTCTGGAGAAGAATCCTAAAATCTGCTGCCTGTGTGTGGAGTAAGAACTTGCTGCTGATGTTCTTGGAGCAGAATGTAGGAATA